CTAGTTCACTGTTTGCCAAGAGTTAGAGAAGGCACTGTGTACCCTGCAGGTTGGATACATTAAACTGCACTAAAGCAGATGAATGGAGGGGACCAGAATGTCATTCAGAGACCAATGGGAAATTTAGAGGCCTACGAGAAAAGCAGGGATTAAGAGGTAGACAAACAGGCTGATGACTACAGGACCACTTGGTCACCCAGGCAGTTTGCCAGTAGCATCCACGAAACACACGTGCCGAGGCAACAGGGTATTAGTTAAGAGCAGAAGCTTCGGCATCATGTGTCCTTGGGTCCAGTTTCCTACTCTGGCTCACACATGTTTTGTAACACTGGGCAATGACTTTCCATTGCGTAAAATGAGGATAATAGCAGTAGACACCCAATAGCTTTGTCAATAGGTTGTGTTTAGTTTGGCACATGCCTACTAAGCAAACTGTTGTTGTGATTGTTATTTTTTGTTCTAATGCAGTTTGCATGGTTGTCACTCCCTTCTCGGGGCCAACCCAACTTGGAGTGGAATGGATAAAATAGAATAGAAAGAATACAGAGAATAGAAAGGAATAATATGTCAATCATTATATAAAATCCACTGTGCTGTTTGTACATATTTTCTTATCCCATCTACATAAAAACTTCAAGAGTTATTATTATTTCTCCTTTATAGACATTAGATCTAAGGTACAGAAAAATTAGGAAATATTTTAAGTCACAGATTTAGCACAATTTGCAAGTGGCAGATACATAATTCCCATTTAGTTCTGTATGAATTTGAAAACCCCTGATTTTAACCACTAATACCTGCACTGAAATCTCTCCATGAGGGCTGGGGAGATAGCTCAGTAGGATAAGTGTTCACCTAGCAAGTGCAAGGGGCTGAGTTCAATCCCTGGTTCCACCAAAAAGAAAAGAAAAGAAATCTCTTGGTGAGGATGCAAACCAAACTGCAATTGGGGAAAAAAATAATGGTTTTCAGTTAAGTAGGACCGTATCCATAAAAAGTAAAGCAGCGCTTGCTATTTTCATTTACGTAAGTCTTTACAAATTAGAGTAGTGCTCTGGAAGAGTCTCAACATTCTCTTTCCAGATTGAATAGAAGCTACTTTCATAATGTCAAGAGAAGTGAAATTCATTTGCTTATGCCTGTGGAAGGTAAGCCACAGGTCCTTAATTGTTATTAATAATGACACATAAAAGGTTGGTTGCCATCCATCAGATAGTTTACCATTGTTAAGGTGGATACACAGGCAAGAAATTGTATAAATCCAAACTTTACAGGTGACAAAACAGGTTTGCAGTAATATCCATAATTTGACAGACTAACAAACAGCAGACAGAATGATTAGAGGAGTCAATAATATTCATTAATTAATTTCATGTTTCATCTATCCATATTTCTTAGATATTCTTTGAATAAAAGACCCTATGCTACCAACCAAAGGTGTCCCAGTGAAGAAAGTCCTTCATGCTTAGATTTTCATGACTCTTGGGCAAAGAAACATTAAAATGTTTAAGGGCCAAGAAGAGATTATACAGAATGTGTAAAAGAACCTGAAAGAGTAAATAAAATCTGAATGTTACAGTAGATACTGTGAAAGAGAAAGAATCTGTTCAGTGGGAAGGAACAACTGGGATGAGGAAAAGGACAAAAGAAAGAAGGGGAAAGGTACATTCATGTATATATGCAAGACAGCTTGGATAATTGTACTGCTGATTTCTGCTGGTCTATTGAAAGAAACAGTTAATGCTTAAAATATTTTCCTTTTATCTTTTCTTCTTCTTAATGTCTTATAACTTTTTAAAATCAGTTTTGCATGTTTATCTCTGGTAATCTTGACAGTTAATTTCAACATAACATGTAATGCAACAACCATTGTTGAAGTCCTATTATTTTGTTAAGTGAAATTCTATATTGTTTCTAATAGTTTTTTCTTTTCTTTTTTTTATAACCATTTTGTATTATCTTTATTTTTATTTTATTTTATTTTTTTAGTGGAACTGGGGATTAAACTCATGCCCTTGCTCTTGACAGGCAAGCGTTTACTCTACTGAGCCATCTCTCCGGTCCCTGTAATCTCTTTAAACAAATAAAAAAAACGAAAAAAAGAAAATAAATGCATATAGTAGAGGAATCTAAGTTAGGTTATAGAACACAGAAGTTTTCCCCCAAAAAATAAATATTTGAGCTAAGAAGTGAAGCGAGGAAGGATAAACCAAGAGAGGAGACGAGAACACAACAAGCAGTGAACATGGATGCTTGTTGTCTATAGTTGTTTAATCACAGTCACTCCCTGAGTTAGCGGTTCTGACCCGAAGCAAAGGCAATAAGCCTGATGCTCAGGACAATGCTGTTCTGACACCTAGCCACTGTGTTTACCCTATTCTGACCACCAAAAACATCTGCTGAGCCAGGAATTTGTATGTCTCATCCAACTGGCTTGGGAGGCCAGCAGAATTTTATTCTAAGTTGCAAAGTTTTTGCTGGTCTGTGTCGCCTTTTAGGAGTGAGTTACAAAAACATGCCCCCACCTGAAAAACCACCAAACATCACCCTTTCTAGCTATCCCCAGCTATATGACAGAATCCACAAGTACGGTTCTTAGACACTCACATGCTGCTCCTCCTGTAATTCAGTGAGTAAGTCTAGTGCTCTGCTGGCCCGGATGACACAAATCTAAATTGTTGAAAGTTTCCTAACATGGCTGACTGTCTCTAGATTACAACGCTTGGTGCTGAGGAGAGAGAACCAGAGTCTTTTTGAAGAAATGAGTTGGAGAGTTCTGATAAGCATAGCTCCCTGGTTGCTCTCAACAAAGAGCTTCGTGTCTTCTAAAAGGACCAACTATAAAGGAGTAAGCTTTGTCCTAACCTTGACTCAGAGACACGGCACAGATCTTATTTTTTCCACGTGTTCATTAATTTACCCATTCACAAAATGGCCTGTGACCACCAGAGTATGTGTTTTAGTCTTTGCAAGTCCTTGTCCCAATTAATTGGACATGCAGCTTCCTCAGGATCACTGCTATCATCTAGATTTGAGTCAAGTTTTCAATCACTGAGTGCTTGTATCCAAACAGAAGGGCACGTTGTGTCTGTAGTACATAGCAGGATTTCAGTGCTAACATTTTGTTCTATCAAATGCAAATTATTTAATGAAGATAGTTTTCTTTTGAAATATAGGGCAGACTTTATTAAAATGAATCCATATAAGGTATAGATACAGGTACCATTGCAAGTGGTGTCTTGCGTAGAGGTGAAAGATTGAACTCAACACCCAAGGTTTTCTTTTCTTTTTCCTTCCTTCCTTCCTTCCTTCCTTCCTTCCTTCCTTCCTTCCTTCCTTCCTTCCTTTCTTGGTTCCTTCCTTCCTTCCTTCCTCCTTCCCTCTCTCCATTTCTCCCTCCCTCTCCACCCTTCCCTCTACACGTATCTCTCTGCTTGTTATAAGTCTAGAATAATAAATATCCTACTTTAAAAATATAATCTTTCCTCTAAGAAGCCCATAGACAGTTGGTGGAGACGTTTAAATGAGACCTACCATGCATATCCAAAAACCATTCATTTGTGCTCAGAAGAACCAAACAAGTCTCCAAAAGAACTGAAGTCAAAACTGAGACCAGTGCCAATCATTAGGCCCCTTGAGATTCAGAAACAGTAAAACACTCTTCCCTTAAGAAATTGTCAGGCTAGAAAGTGACCCAAGTCTTCGTCAACAGATGAATGAATAAAGGAGCTTATGTTCATGAACACTGTGGGCTATTATTCAGCATCAAAGAGAAAGTAACCCTGTTATTTGTGATAACATGGACTAATGTGAAGGGCCTTGTGTTAGTAAACTGTGCCAACCTCAACAGGATAAATACTATATATTTTACTTATACAGAATTCCAAAGCAAGGAAACTCACCACAGCAGTGTAGCATGATGGGTCCCAAGGGCTGGGAGGAAGGGCTGGAGACGTGTTGGCTGGAGAATACTGAAACAGCAGTTAGACAGGGGGAGTAAATTCAGAAGATCTATTGTCCAACATGGTGACTGCCTATAATTAATAACAATGTATCATATGTCTGAAAGTTACTAAAAGCAGAACTCAAATGCACTCACCACCGATAAATGTATGTGAGGCAACAAATTGGCTCAATTTAGTCATTAATTGTGTATACACATTCTAGCACATCATGTTGCGTATCATAAACGTGTAGTTGTGGGGCCGGGGATGTATTTCTACAGCACAAGCCCCTGCCTGGCAAGCACAGGGTCCTGAGTTCAATTCTCAGTACCTAAATAAATATAAATAAATAAATGGTAGTGTTTTTGTTTTTATCAAAAATCTTTATTAGATGGATAAAATAGGTTGCTTCATCTTCAGGCTAAAGAAGACATTTATTAAAATATCTAGCCTTAATGGGATCAAACAGTCTATAGAGCAGATGAGGAAGGAATGAGCTCTGCCTGCGGCGAGGCTGAAAGCGCGTCATGAAAGTTCCACTGAACCTGAGGCTGAGGACCAGGCACGAACCCTCCAAGGGTAAACATTGGGAACAATGACCCCGAAAGAAGGAAAAGAAAGCACAGCATGCGGAAAGGTGACGATTTCTCCTAGCACACAGAAAAAGAAGCCAGGCATGTGGCAGAGAGGTAGACACATTTTCAATTGATTTGTGGTTGTTGCTGAAGGCTAAATAGAAGTTCTGCCTTGTGTTCATCTAATTATCCTAGCTGACACTAAAAAGTCTCCTTGCATGCTTCTTCTAGATACACAGTGCTTTAGACTTTATAGATATACAGCATATTACAAATACCAAGAAGGCTTTTCTTCCCTTATTAAAAACCTTTAGGTTTTGAAAGACAGGGCAGGGTTCAATAGTAGCGATCCCAGGGTAAGCTGTGCAGACATCTTGTTCAACAACCTAAATTCCACAGCAGATGATGTCACCTGTGTATGCCCTATAAATTAAGCAAAGTTCCAGTACATCGGAGCTATTTATCTGCATCCATTCTCAGTACCGCAGGATGGCTGTCTCAGCACTTCAGCGTACGATTGTACTGGGACTGCTTGTATTAATACTGACCTGCCATGCAGGTAAGTGCGTCTGGTCAAAGCCAAGAACTGCGCAGGAGTGAGCAGGGATTGGAGGAAGTTGGCATGATGCAGAAGATATGGGGGGAGGGACTCTTGGCAGCTACAGAACGAGCCTTAAACTAAGAGACAGGAGGATTATATTCCAGCAAAGAAAGGCTTTTTACTATCTTCTGCTCCAGGTAAAGCTTCCATCTCCAGTAAATATATGATGTTTGCAGTGATTTCTTAAATACAGTCATATTGTTTAGTAACACTACTTATAAATTCCTTGAGAGCTGGGGGTTTTGTTTGTTTATCTGCTGTGCGTTTGCTTCATTGAGACAGGGTCTTACTATGTAACCCTGGCTTGGTCTTGAACTTGCAGCAATCTCTTGTTTCAGTCTCCAAAGTGCTGGGATTACAGGCCTGCACCATCACATCTGGCTTGGGGTGGGAGGCATTTCTTATAATTACAACTAATACTGTTCAATGGTTAAAAATACACACGCTGGAATGAGACTGCTCGAATGGCTCTCCCTCTAACCAGAAATGTGACTTTAGTCTTGCTATTTAATCTCTCTAGACATCATACATATAAGGGAATGTTAATAAGGTTAATTTTCTCATAAAGTGATCAAGGAAATTAGTTTGTAAAGACAATAAATTGGAATAGCATGTAGCCAATAATAAGAGCTCAATAAACACTAACTGTTACCTTATCATGTGTAATCTCTTCTGTTTTGCTTACTTTTTGAGACAAGAGTCTCACTATGTAGCTCAGGCTGGCCTTGAACTCATCATATATTTAGGTTGTCCTTAAACTCACAGTGATTTTTCTTTTTTTGGCTCAGCCTCCCAAGTGCTGGGATTACAGGTGTGCGCCCCCATACCTTACCTAGTAACCATGTGTAGCTGTTATTGGCTATTTTTCATAATCCTAGTAAATAAACAAGTGTGCTTTTATAGCTTTCCTTCTTACGGCTTAATAAACTAAGCTTGCGGAAGGAAAGTAACCTTGAGCATGGATGCCTGCGAGGTGGCATCTGGGAGTATGACCTGCGCTCTCAGGTTCTCCCCCTCATAATTAATATCTGATTCAAGCATTGTAAGGACAACAAGGCAGCATGCAGCACAGTCATTAATTAATTACTTTTTTGTCTGCCAAAGGCTTTCAGCTCTTGACTTGTCTCTCAACAGTGCCAGCATTTAGCAATAGAATCCTTGGAAGGCAACTTGGTAGAACAAACACCCCCAAGCCACTCACTGACTTACTATTAGCACAACACACGGGCGTTGCAACAGAACTGCTCTAGCTGGGGACACACACGCTGTTGCTATAGCAGCGAACAGAGAAGTGAAAGATGAGAGTTCTAGCTAAGATCAGTCCTAATGCCTTCTTTCACAAACTCTGCCATGGTAGCTAAAATAGTTCACCGTTTTGATCCTCAAGGTTTTCATCTGTAAAATCAAATAACCATCAACTTTTTCTTTCATATATATATATATATATATATATATATATATATGAAATATATATATATATATATATATAATACATATTTGGGGCTAGGAACAAAACTCAGGACCTCATGTTTTCCAGGCAGGTGCTGTGCCACTGAGCTATATCCCTGGCCCCAATAACATGCTTTTATTACTATTACTTGCACTGCAAAACTATAAAAACAGATGCGACATTATATTTGTTCACAACTTTATAATTGTATTAACTAAGAAATCCAAACAGGAAGTTAATGTAAATAAAATATTTTTTAGATTACATCTAAAAAGAGAAAACACTTACTCATGGACTTGGATGATTTATTGGGCTTTTTTTTTTTTTTTTTTTTGTGGAACCAGGGATTGAACTCAGGCCCTTGAGCTTGCCAGGGAAGTGCTTATTCCACTGAGCCATCTCCCCAGCCCCAATTTGTTTATAAGTATGACATTTCTTGATATTTTAATAGTAGTTTTAAGTTTTCATGATCTCCTGAAGTGCTAGAGAAGAAAGAGAATTAGAAATCATTTTGTTCCAATTATCCCTGATAATAAAATAATCTTACCTTGGGCCTGTTATTGTGGTAAGTGGTATGTGCACAATACAAACACACAGATAAATGTGCACACATGTATATGATACTGATAGGTGATATAAAAAATATCTTTTGGTCCTGACAGCACAATGAGAAGACACAGTGGCTAAACATTATGTACAAGGTAGCATGCTAATGCCTTGCTGAAGACAGGAAACAAACTCCAGTTGGAAGATTTCAAACCCTATGGTGCTTCACACCCTAACATTAATTTAAGCTTTGAAGTAGAATCCTATAATGTGAATAACATGCTTTTAAAAGCATTCAGGTTCAAAACCAGGCTTGACTTCTTTCTAGATGATATATGTAAATCATATACTCACACTGAGCATCTGTATTTTCTTCTGTAAAACTAATGCCATTGCTGAGCTGAATGCAGATAAAAGCATATCACGAGAATTCTATCTTTTATTGCTTGCACAGCTGTCCTCCCACAAACATCCTGCTTTCTTCTGGTGATGAGCATTAACCAGTTCTGGGTATATTGTCGCCCTCCATTTAGATAAGGACCATGTGTATATTTATTCTTAAAAACAAAAACAAAACAGAACAGAACACCTTAACTCTTAGGTAGAAGCACTGTGCACATCATGAAAAAACTTAGGAAAAAACTTTCTGAAGGAAGAAATGAATGGCTGAATGAATGAATGCTTGATAATTAGTCTATATTTTTGTTATGAGGCCCAGATTGGTGCTCCTATCAAATCGTTGGTTATGGCATCGTAAGCAATAAATGTTTGCAGATTTGCCAATATTTTTATGAATAGTCACTATTTTTAGGATATTATGCCAATACAAACATTTGACCATAATTAGACAGCTTGTGTAAAAAGCTAGTTATGTGTGCCCCGTATGAAGTAATGGGCTATGCTGTGTAGAAGTTGGGATTTCGTAAGTCAAAACTTATGATAGAGTAGCTAGATTAGATAAAAGACACATTTCATCATCCCTAAATATTGTATAAGTCACTCTTATACCAGAAGGGTATTTATTCAAATTTAAATATATTTAGCACTATATGTTTATGTGCCAACTCTATACAAATATCTTGGCAGGCTACAAATAAAGGTCCTATTTCATTCTGTCACCAGGCTCACTGTACACATATAGCCATTGTCATTCTTCTATTAGTTCTCAGCTCCCCAAATAGAGACCTCTACCAGTGCCAAAACACAGCAAAGGAACTGCACGGAAGCAGCCTGGACCTGTGGGACTCAAGCCGAGGGACACTCCTTTGGGGACCAAGCTTAAGAGGCCTGTGATTATGGCCCTATCTTCCTCTGTTATTCTCTGTAAGGTCTTCTAATAGTCCCTAATGTTTTCAGTTTCTCAGCCTGGTGAGCTAAAAAATGTACCCATAAGATCAGCCAAGGCTAAAATTACACAGTACTTTTAAAATAATTATTTACATAGCTATCACGTTATATACAAGTGATAGAATATCTTTTTCATCATTATTCTTATACTACTTGGACTGAAGAAATAAAAATTGTCTAAGTTCTTTGTCAAAGACTGAATAGTCATGGCAGAGTGCTTGAAAATTCACAATTTAGTATCAGATACACATGAGGTTGAATTATATTTTTGCCACTACCTAACTTTGTGACTATGAATCAGTTTCTTAAAACTTTCTTTGCTACCATCTCTCCAACTTTATTTATTTATTTTTTTATTATTGAACACTACTTTAATAATCCTTGAATAAATAAATATCTAACAACCATTTCCTACCACAACACATGAGAGATACCAGTAGATATGTCATGTTTTATAATGAACAAGAGGAAATTGTAATAAAACTTCTGTATTTCTTTTCATAATTTTCATTTGGTAAATCATAGCATCCTAATTCTTTTTTTTCATAATTTTATTGATAAACAGCAATGAGACAATTTCAAATCAAATCATTAGGACAGTTTCAATAACTAACACACTGCATGTATTCTTCTTAGTGGTTAATTACTGTACAAGATACGGACTTGAGATCCTATTTACAAACACCATTAGAACATTAGAACACCATCTCCAACTTTAAAATGGCATTAAAAACTCTGCACTGCATGGAGTCTGGGGAAGATAAAATGAGACAATACCACTGGATTGCCTGTCATAATCATGTGGTCAAGAAATTCTAGTCATGGATAGTTCATTCCCACTATCATTTTTCTGTAGGAGAGTGGATAGCAGGAAACATGGGCATTCTTGTGTATTTTAGCCCCAGGACTTGTGGTTACTAGCTGCTTGTCTCTGGGATACATATTTCTGCAAGCTTCAGTTTTCTTATTCTCAAAATAAAAGCAATGCTCAGTTAAACATCAATCTTTGTTTTCATAATAACTGAAATAATGCGTGTGAAGAATTTAAGTAGGCAAGTAATAAATGTGTAAGCATTTCCTATATGGAAAAGAGACCATCTTTTTATATATTTTGATACATTTTCATCAAGTGGTCAAGACTGGGTTTGAACTCTCAATTCTCCTACCTTAGCCCTCAAGTGCCGGGATTACAGATGTGAGCCACCATGCCATGCTGAGACATATCTTTCTTATTTCTTCTTTATCATTTTTAATGTTAGTGCTTGAACCCAGGGCATTGGACATACTAGGCAAGTGCTCTATCACTGAAACACATCCCTAATCCCCCTTTCTTATTTCTATGAATTACCTGTGAAACACTGTTCTTTCTTTCAGATGACAAACCAGAGGAGAACGCAGATAAGAAGCCAGGTGATTCAGAAGAAAAGCCAGTCACAGACATCCCCAAATTCCTAAATCTCCTGGGCACAGAGATAATTGAGAATGCAGTTGATTTCATCCTTCGCTCCATGACCAGGGGATCGTAAGCACTGAGACAAGCCTTGCTTTTGTCCTGTTCTCTACTAATAAAGACCATATTGTGTCAAATTGAATAAAAAAGGAAATTTCTACCACAGATCAATATATTATTGTTGACTGAAGCATGTTGTCCTACATATATATCTCCTCTCTATGACTGAATAGGGAAGAAGATGGGCCCTGACCAAGGATTGGAAAGCCCTCTTCTGGTCCTGACTCAGGTGCAAAGGGTAGTGTTGTGTTCATTAGTGATGGATATGAGTCTTGAGTTGATTTTGTAGCTTGAATTGTTCAGAGGTATAAAAGAGATAGCAAATAATCTCTCCTTAGAGTATTTCTCAGCCCGCTAGTTTTGATCACGGTGGATTGCCTTATGATTGATTACCCACCTCAGAGTCTTGCCCTTGTTTTCATCCTTTCATCCTACTTCCTAAACCATGGGCCTAATTCCTACCACGACTGAGTTCAGCCTACACAGTTTTTGTTTTACATGGCTACTTCACACTCCTGATGTCAACCCCTCCCCCTGGAGTTCTCTGGGTTAAAACTCCTTCTCCTGAACTTGCCTGAGGCTTCTGTCCCTTAGTTCTTTGTGCTCCTGCCCCTTAGTTCTATCCTGCGTAAATACCTAACCAAAGCTTGACATAATGTGGTCTACTACCCACCTGATGCAGAATCTACTGTAATGTATTTTTAAAACTATAAGATTTTTGTATTCCATGTACATTTATATGAAGGCAAAACTAAAGGCATGCCTTCTATTTTTAAACAAGAATTCCAAGTGATTCTGATATAGAAATCATTCCCTAATCAGATATTCTGGGATACATAATAGGGCCTTACGGGTTTACACAGCTTTTAGATTTTCATTCATATCTTATTTAGATATGAATTGTTAAAGTTTCAAGTAGAAAAGGGCTTATATTAGATTCTCAAACATAATGAACATGTAAATAATCTTTTCTTTTCATGTGTGTGGTACAGGGTATCACTACACAGCTCTGACTCATTAGTGATCCTCATATTTTCAGCCTCCCCAGTGCTGAGATTACAGGCATGTGCCACCATGCCGGGACTTGGTGGTCCGCTCAGCATGAGCAGGGGCAGGGCCAGCCTGGCATGTAGTGCCAGGGATCAAACCCAGGTCCCTGCACTTGCCTAAACAGGTGCTTAGTCCACTGAGTAAATAACCATTTCTATGTGGAATCATTCAGATTCTTGCAATCTTTGATCTGCAAAATCAACATATTTGCCTGTAGGGTGCTATATATAATCTTTCCCCACAAATTGCTAAAATGCATAGCTGTTTCTCTTTTATTGTTATATGTCCTGTTGTATTTGTTTTTGGTCTCTGAGGTATCTGTCCACAACCCCTGGGAGGCATAGTGGTGCAGGTACATAGACTGCAGGGAATCAGAACACACAGCAGAAAGCAAGCAACGGAGGAGTGAGCAGAACTTCATCTGCATCACTTGTATCACCCCCGAGTTCCACCTCCTGTCAGATCAGCAGTAGTATCAGATTCCCATAGAAGCATGAGTCCTCCTGTGACATGTGGCTGCCAGAACTCTAGTTTGTGTCCTCCATATGAGAGTGTAGTGCCACAGTCCGAGGTGGAACTCCGGAGGCTGCACACAGAGATTCACATTAGCAGAGAGGTTTGACCACAGAGACCATAGTAAATTATTTCCTCGGACACATATCAAATCCTATTCATACATGACAAGTAAAAAATAAGCCATATCTTATTGCTGGCTTTAAAGTAGCAAGTGAGCTGAGGTATTTCGAATTTGCAGTTGCATCTAGCGGTACAATATAAACCAGAATCTGACATGTATTTTAGTCTGCATGCAGCCTGCACGCTACTTTATGGACCACTCCCATGTGCGCCTCTTTCTCCTACTGCACGTTTGGCTTGCTAAGAGTTTTGGTGAACTTTCAAACATTTCACTACTAATATGGGCTACTGAACTATACTGGGAGATTCTGCTGAATTCAAGCACCTACAATATTTAAATGACATTGAAATGCCCATCTCTGTCAAAACTAACCAAAAAAGTGGGATAGAAATGAATAACCCTTTTGTATCTGTATGCTCAAAATAGTTAGGATAGATACAGAGCTCCATTCTCTTAATTCAATGAATAGAGAGGTTTGTTATAGTAGTGTTTGAGACGGGATATCATGTCTGCATCTTGCACTATGACTAACCAGTAAGACAACAATATGCAATGTATTACAGTAAGACAACAATATGCAATGTATTAATTATTGAAAATGTGCCAGTTATCTGTTGTGAAACTGTCTCATTGATATTTATTTCTCAATAAAATTATTAGAAAGAAAAAAACACACATTTCATCAAAAATAAAAATGTATTCTTATTGCTGCCATACTGGAAACTCTTTTATAAATTTCCATTGTTTACAAGCCCGAGTAAATTCATCAGGCTAAGAGTAAATCTCTTTCCCTGATGCTGATATTTTTTTTACTCATATCTCTCACTCCTGTGACCAACATCCATGTCTGGTGATGGGTGAATTTTGTTTTCAGGGAAGACTATGATTTTATAACAGTTTCACTCATGCTTTTATCCACTCTGCCAGCAATGACTACCTCCAAATTTTAGTACAATTTCACTTATCTTTCAAGTATAAATCATTTTCTAAAGTCTAATTTAAATACAAGATCTGTGTTGAAATCATAGACAATTACAAAATTTAGTTTTTGATATTCAAGTATTTGTAAACTTTTTAATCTTTATAATAGCACTATTTTTATATCACTTCAAATTACTTATACTTTTTCCTCTACTATATCTATGATCTTTTCTCAAATCACACATTGGTCATCTTTTACCTTCTAAGAAACTACCTTGCCACAATCTTTAAGTAAGAGAGAATAATGTAAGGTGTGGGTATTCTGTAATAATTCTGGAGATTTAAGTTTTAAAGTTTGCTTTGAAATTTATTCACAACGTGATATGGAAGAATAATTTGATCTTTTTAAGATTCAGTGTGTTTCTTTTTTCACATGTGAAAAGATACAATAAGGGTTGGCCAGAGAGTTCAGAGGGCTAAAGTGCCTGCCTAGGCAGATGCAGGGACTGGGGTTCCATCCCCAGTGGGCTGTGCCAGCCCCATCCCTGGGACACACTGAGTCATCAGTTGAGACTGGGCGTGGTAGTTTACATCTGTAATCCTAGCACTTGAGAGGTTGAAAACAGGAGGAGCACTATGAGTCCAATCTATGTACTGAGACCCTGTAGACCCTGTACTAAACACACACACAAAAAGATACAATAAATATGTGTTCGAAATATTTATTAAATCATACTATGTCAGGCATTATTTTAGCTTCTGGGGATATGGTAATTAACGAATATATCAAAACATCTGTCTTGATGGAATTTATGTCTCAGGAGACATTCAACTAATCAATTTATTGGGAAATCCAGAGCTAATTATGCATAGATTCCTTGTCAGTTCTGAACTATCATGAGAATCTTAGATCTTACTTATTTCTGAAATTGGCAAATCTGAAGATCAGAAATTTGATTCAGTCTTATAAGACCCCTTGATGATCACACTAACATCCCTTTGCAGCCTAAATCATAGTTCATTATTGTCCCTTACCCTTCTCTCTTTTCCTTTTTAGGAAGATTTTTCAAATTTGATAATAAACTAGAACAGTTGTCAAAAAGGACCTTTATAAATGATTTTTAAGTGTATAATTTATAAGAAAAGTCATCATATACTATGATGGATGAAGAAAAGGCCTGTCTTGTTCTTATTAATGATTTGGGACATTTGTGTACCTACAAGCAGAAAAGGTGTACTTTTTGTTCATATTGTAGTTTTCTTATTGTAGTATTATATTTTATTTTAACAAGTTTCTCTTCAAAGAAGAAAATTTGTGGGATAACATCAGTACACACAGGGTTAAAGGACTTGGTTCTCTTCATTATTTTGCTGGGAATTTGCTATTGGCAAGCTTTCTAACACTACTGAAAACACCCAAGACAATCAACTTATAACAAGAAAATGTTTGAGCTGAGCATTGTGGCCCATACCTGCAATCCCAGTGCTCATGAGGCTGAGGCAGGAGGAGTACCATGGATTCGAGGCCAGCCTGCCCTACATGGTGAGTTCAAGGCCAGCCTGAATTACAGAGTGAGACCCTGCTATGAATAACCACTACAAAGACAACAATATGCAATGTATTAATTATTGAAACAGTCCTATCAATCCATTTTGAAACTATCTCTTTGCTATTTGTTTGTCAATAAATTAATTTTTAAAAACCAAAAAAAGAAAGAAAGAGAGAGAGAGAGAGAGAGAGAGAGAGAGAGAGAGAGAGAGAGAGAGATTGGTAAAGTTTATCTTGACTGACAGTTTTGGAGTTTCCAGCCCATCACTGGCTGGCCCCACTGTTTTGAGGTGATAGGCACATAAAGACAAGAGCATGCAGCAGAGCAGAACCATTCACCATGGGGCAATTCATCTTCACTGTCAACTTGATTGGCTTGACATACTTTGGGAGGTCAGTAAAGCACCTTCGGCACATGTCTGGAGGAATGGGAAAGGTATCAGGGGTTTGTCTGGTCCATTGTACCTTCATCTTGGCTCTTCTACTGCTCTCTGCGTCCCTGGTGTCCCTGGCTGAACAGCTTTCCTCCAGTGTGCCCTTCTGCCTTGCTGTGTCTGTTCTGAAGACACCAAGCATGACTGAAGCCTCTGCAAGTGGGACCCCAAAAAACCTATCTCCTCCTGCAGGCTGTGGGCATCAGTATTTTGTAACAGTGATGGACACCTAACACCCACCTATGACCAGGAAGTGAAAGCAGGAAGCAGGCACAGCTCCAGCCCTCACAATTCCCTCTGACATCACACTGCTGAGGATACCACGTCTCTCCAGAGGGCGCCTCTTAGAGTTTCTGCCACCTCTTGATGTGGAAACCAGGACTGCAATATGTGGGCATGTGGGAATTTCCCAGATCCAACTTCAGTGCTTGCCTTGTACAAGT